GTATGTATATATACTTTGTATATTGCGGAGAATGCCTTTTGCCCTTATGTTCACCCGATTCACTTTGGTCCTCATTGTTTTAAATTGAACAAAATACACCTTAAGTGTTCATTTGGATGGAGGGATTTGGGGGGAGGGGAGGGATTTCAAATCCATAATAACAAATTCCTCGAACTTGTTTGGATTGAGGGATTTGGAGATGGATTTCAAATCCCCACCCCTCCTTTTTAGTTGATTTTGGAGCAATAGTGATGGATTTCAAATGACTCCAAAATTGGAGTCATTTCAAATCCATTCCCCAAATCAAATCCCTCTCCAAATCCCTTCATCCAAATGGACCCTAAAAGTTCAATTTTAAACACATTTACTCCCCGCCGGCACCAGCCTGTTCACATCTAACGGAAATTTTGGAGTCATAATTGAAATTAAATTTTTTTTTGGGTCTAGAAAATGGGCTAAATACACTTTGCACCCCTGAAGTATATAGCCAATGTAACACTTACCCCTCAACATCAAATATTTTATATTTTATATTTTAAAATTAAAATATAATAAACATCACAATCTAATAATTATTGGATCATAAAAATTGAAAAGTAACTAAAATCAAATTATTGGAAATATATATATATATATATATATTGTATAATAATGAATGAAAATATATTTTAAGAAATTAATGAACTAAAATAAATTTAAATACGTAAGATTACTATTATTTATGTATTGATTTCTTAAAATTTATCGATATGGATATATTCGATTAATTGGTCCAATAAGATGTTACTACTATTTATTAGATATGTACCTAACAGTACAAGAGAATATTTTTAAATTTTAAAATATTGCATTTTTCAACATATATTTTGAGTTGTATAATTAAATTATTCTTTTAGTTATTAGTTTAATTTTTTTTTAAGGTATTAGGATTTAAAATACAAATTGATTTGAGCTGAAGGGGGTAAGTGTTACAAATGATACTTTAGATGTAAGAGGGTATACATTGGGAGTGAAAAATTGTATTTAACCCCTAGAAAATAATTACAAATGTGAAGTACTATTTGTAATTAATTTTTTAATAATATTACGTAACATTAAAAAGAAATTGAACAATATTTAATTCTCTGACTCTTTTCTCTCCCAAAACGAATCATAGCCGCTCGATGGACGAATTGTATGGAATTGTACAGTCTAAATGGGAAGATGGTGACAATGCAACTAAAAGACACCTAAATTCAGTTCAATGGTTCATTTTGGGAGAGAAAAGAGTCAGAAAATCTCATGTTAATAACGAGAGAAATCACTCAGAGCAAGCAAACTGAAAATCAAGACGCCAATGGATTGACAAACAATTCGCCCACAAGATTATTAAGCTTCGACGATTCAACCGTAGACTTCTTTCTATATTTTTTATTAGGAATCTTTGTTATGCGTTCGTGTTATTATTTGTATAGACACCTAAATTTGCATATTTGGTTGCACAACATTACAAACATTAAATGAAATAATTATTTGTTATGGGTTATAAACAAGAATCAATGAATGCATAACTAAGATAACTTAGTGATGAACGTAACTGAAACATTGATGAAGATCATTTCCTATATATATCGTTTTCATATGGTTGTTACTTCTGAAGTTGTTTGTTTACGTCTTAGTTGATTATAAAAAATCAATATTACTTTATTTGGATAAATTCAAATTGTGATTGAGTGTGTAATTAGAGTGGGAAATCAATGTTACATGTAGGATCGGTAACCGACCCTTAGAAATTCACTTTATCACTTGGATGCGATATGTGTACTTGCATGTTCATTATTTTGCCCTAGACGTTTCGACAAAGTCATACTTTCATCCCGAGATGCAAACGAAGTGTAAACATTGTCCATTAAATTTCATTAATATTTTTTATGATTTATTAATATTTGTATTTCATTTTGTTTAAAATATTTACATGTTGCAACCGAGTGGTGCTTATGGATATTTAAAAGGGATAATTAGTCATGAATATAACTTACTTTTCATTATTAGTGAGACTCCTCACTAGGGGTGTTTTCGGTACGGTTGCCGAATATTTTGTTCAATACCGTGTACCTACCGTATCTTGCGGTATTGAAAAAATCTATACCGTTACCGCACCAACAATTGCGGTATACCGTTATTCGGTATACCGTTATTCGGTATACCGTTAGTTTCGGTACGGTATGATCGGTACGTGGTAATCTACCGTGCATAATTTTGTTGATGAATTTGGATAATACCATAATTAAGATGAATACTAAATAAATGTATAAATACAATAAATTAAGCAAATGAATTTGCAATTAAGCAATCTACATGAATATACATTATACAACTGTTGTAGAAAATTTTGCTTTAGTTAACTAATGCTTACTAATATATCTATAGAAAAATTGTAGAAACTAATGAGTAAGAAAATTTCATGGTTTAAGTAAAAGAAACAAAAAAATTAAATATGTTGCAATAATGCAAATGAAATAGAAGGCTGGGACCTCAGGGAGAAAGAAAGGGAGAAGAAAATTGTTGCAAAAAAAATTCCACTAATAAGAAGATTAGTTGGACTTAAGAACTAAAGAAGTGCGCGCGAACATAAACAACTTAACGAGAGGCAAATAGTGAGTTTGCATAAATATATGAAGAGAATAAAACAAATCATAATTATGTATATATATATATAGAGGATGTATCATATCTTTATTCTTGTTTTTTTTTGTTTTTTTTTTTTTTTAATTATTCGTTGACTATATTTTTTATTTAACAATATAAAGGAAATCTATATTAACTAATTTTAAAAATAAAAAGTTGCGGTACGGTACGGTATTACCATGGTATTGAAGATACAATACCGCTATCGTACCGTAAACTAATGGTACGGTACCAATACCGTACCAAATGTAATGACAACCGGTAGTTCGGTATTTATTCGATAATTTTTGGTAGGTATACCGTGGTAATCGGTATTCGGTAATTTTTTTCCAGCCCTACTCCTCACCTTATATTAAATATATATTTTTTTAATTAATATTGTATTTGACATGATTAATATACCTAATTTACCCTTCTATATTATGTCTAAAATAATCAAATATATTTGACGTTCTCTCTATTTATCTTATTCCCCTCTCTCTTTTCTCTCTAAAAACCGCCGCCTCCAACCCTTTGCATCTCTGCGCCGTCGTCGTTGCGCTCTATACCACCGCCCTTGTACCATCCATTCTCTTAATCTCTATTTCGTCCTGTCTACTCTCTTGTCCCAACGGTGTTCGTCCCTCCGCTGCCGCGAAAAGAAATCGAATTTATTTATTTGAATTCAGAAAATTAGGAGCGGTCTTCACCCCTGGAATTCTCTCGTCAACGACAGCATTAGGGTTTTTGCTAGGGAGAATGACGAGACTATGCAGCGACGCCAGGGTTGATATTGCATATGAGATTTCAATAGAGACCACCGCCAACTTGTTTCATTGTTGTTGTTGTTCTTCTTCTCTGATTTTTTTTTTGCACCCAATTTTCGAATCTCAATTTTCTTACTTGGAGTTTTTGGTTGAATTCTTATATTGAAGGCTAATTTTGTGCTCAATCAATAGTATAATGGATGTTTGTTTTTTGTTGAAATTGTGTTGGTATTATTTACAGGTATATAGATATTTTCGTACAACAATACAGTTGTTTTCGTACAACAATATAGTTGTTTTTATTATTTTTTTAGTTGATAAATAGTTGATTTAACGAATAATTTATTTTGATAAATGAGAGTTGTTGGAGATATATAGTTGTTTTAATCACAATTGTTTTAATAACAGTTGTTTTATATAGTTGTTTTAACTGAAGACAAAAAATATAGTAAAAAAATATTTTTTAAAAGTTAAAAAAAATATTTTTTTAAATAAGAAATAAATAAAAAACGAAAATTAAAATTAAAATATAAAAAGTAAAAAGTACATCAGAGTAGTGTATAATAGGTAGTGAATAGAGGAATGGTACATTTGAGAAAAAAAAAAAAAATGGGTCTCTCACTAATTAAGGAAAAGGAGTTGGACCCATCCTCATTAAAATAATGCTAGAGGAGGTTCTCACTAATAGCCCCTATTTAAAAATAGGGAAGATTGCAGTTTATGTCCCTTTACTTTACCACTAAAACGATTTATGTCCTCAAACTTTTTCATCTACGAAACATGTCCTCAAACTTGCCACTTTTCAATAATTTATGTTCTGCTGTCAACTCCGTTATAGTCAACTTGGACGAAAATAACACGTGTGGCGCACGTGATGTCGATCTGGCCGTTAAATGCCGAAATGGCTGATACACTGAGATGATGTGGCAAAAAAATGATGTGTGGTTCTTTCCCTCTATTTCAATTTTAAAATTAATTTCTCATTCCCCCTATTTCATTGAATCGAATGCATAAACCCTACCTCCTAAATTCCTTGTACGAAGCAGCGAAATTGAGGTGAAATTCCGCAACAACAAGATTGCCCAACCATAATTTCGCAAATTTCAGTGGAGCTTAAACATCACAATAGAGCCACAATTTTTTTATTCTGGTAAGTTTCTTCAAAGTTGATATCCTTGAACTTCTTTTTTGGAATTTGGGAGATGGTAGTTTCGATTTCAATTAAATTCTATGTTGTAGTGTAGAATATTAGTAAAATTTGGGGGTTAGGGTTTGTGCATCCAGTTCAATGAAATAGGGGAATGAGAAATTGGGGACTTTAATCACAAACTGAGAATTTTAAAATTGAAATAGAGGGAGAGAACCACATGTCACTCCACGCCAATTTTTTCGGCCACATTATCTCGCGGTGTCAGCCAGATCAGCATTTAACCGTCAAATCGACATCACGTGCACCACACGTGATATTTCCGTCCAGGTTGACTGATAGAGTTGATGGCATAACATAAATTGTTAACAAGTGGCAAGTTTGAGGACATATTTGGTGGATGAAAAAGTTTGAGGACATAAATCGTTTTAGTAGTAAAGTTTAGGACATAAACTGTAATTTTTCCTTTAAAAATACACGTCGAGAGTAAGCATTTGGATGACCGAGTACAAGGAGAAAGAGAACTGGATTAGAATTTCGAATTTGTAGATCCCGATGCCAAAATCGACATAATGTAAGTTTATAAGAACTATGTGGCTTTGATTATTTTTATTACAAAAGGGATACTGAAGCAACTTAATTTGCAAGTTTGACATTGAACTATAATATTTAAGGGTAAATTACAACCAGCCCTGAGATATGGTGAAATTACGAAAACCCCCTCTTGTTTGGATAATTACATATACCCCCTCAATTATGAATCTTCTTACACCTCCACCTTTACGGTGTCAAATTCAACATAATCATCTAGATTCCGTGGAATGTGCTCTAGTTTGTACTTTTTTTGTTTAAAAAATACAGTTTCTGATACCACAATATAATCTGATATATACAAGACAAAAAACACATTATATGATCATCTTGCTTCAAAATGTGGAGCTCGAATGGGATAAAACAGATACAAAAGTGGTAATATTCCATATAATCAAGAAGATTCCACTAAATTTGAAACCACAAGGGTTGACGTATAAGAAGATTTATAGTTGATGAGTGGTTGTAAGTACCCAAACAGAAGGAGGGTTTTATAATTTGACGATACTTCAAGGGGTGGTTGTAATTTACCCAATATTTAAAATTTAGTGCAAGCTCTTTCAATATGATTCGTTTCCTTTTTTTTCTTTTAAATTTTTAAAACTTAATTTTGTTAAAATTTTAACAAGTACACATTTTTTTAAGAGTTTAAAATAATTTCATAACAAAAAAACAAATCAAAACCTAGTTAACCCGCTATCCGAACAATAACCGGGACCCACGGTTTTGAACCGCCACTTAACCTCCTATACACGATCCGATTAAGGTTCTTGATTTTTTGTAACCGGAAACGAACCGAGCCGTGGTCATGTTTACCAAATAGCCCGTGAAATTCAAAACCCAATAAAGTAAATAAAAACTAAGATTAATCTTTAAGGTTTCTTTAAAAACCCTTCAGTCCAGACTTGCAATAATCAGAAGTTAAGACCTGATCAATCATTGTACCATTTCCAAAAAAAAAATCAACCCTCTAACACCATATCCAAAAGAAAATCAAAAAAGCTGAGTGCAGAAAAGTAACAAAGTAGATGATAACCATATGCATTGTGATCATCATAAGAAGAGCTTATGATCGATAAGAACTTGTAAATAGACGAGACATTCACATATCAAAATGGCTCGGAGTATACTAAAAATCTTTTATAGATAATAATGCCATTAATTTGTGCAGGAATACATTCTGTATCCGACAAAATAAAATCGTCTATGAACTAGGTAACAAAAATTCTATTGCTCTAAGACCTAGTATATGTGTATATATTAATCAAGCACTATCTGCTCAAGTAAGAGGTGATTTCAATGAATAACTCCTCACTGCAAGGGATTGTGAGGCCACCCATCGGATGATGGAATCCGAATTCTTCTTCGGCTTGGCATAGCAATTCTTGAAATGAAGGATGGTTCAAATACGATAGTGGAATAACAAATCGCTTCTTTTCACTCTCCCCAACATAAACAGCCAAATGCCCTTTTGGAACTTCAGTTGATCTTCTTTCGTTGGATAAAGATCGTCTTAGCATTTGACGGATGGCCATTGCTGTATAAACCGAATCTTGTTTAATTAGTTTGAATCAACAATTTTCTTTGAAGTATTGTTGTTTGCGAAAGTTGAGAAAAGAATAATATATTTCAGAAGTTGTTGGTATTTGTAAATCAAGAAAGTGTGTTGTATCTATAGGCTAGCAAGAATTGATATATCCTTGAGAAATTTAAATGAGAGTGGTTAACATAGAAAGTGGATATGTGATGCTCTATCAAACTTGGGAAACATAGGCAAATGCAGTCACATGGTTTTGTCTTTGAATCATTATAAAGATTTTTAGGCAGCAATAATTTGTGATTGAAAATATTATATCGTACTAACCCTGGCAGCATGTCCCTTAGATGACCATACGTATAACGGGCCAAACATACTCGAAAATGGAAGATCACATGTAATTGTCTGCCAATCAATTATCTAGCTGTTATAATCACATATCAAACTTATTTACATAGCAAAACATAAAAGATAACATGACCTTAAACGAGTATATTGTTAGTTGTTACATACAACTTGAGCTGTTAGTTATCATATCTGTAGGGTCGTTTAAGGGCCATGTTGTTGGTGGAATACGACATTTTCGACCACACAAATTATTATTTTGAAAGACAAATACATGTGATTTAATATGAGTGTGTTTCTTGGAGTTTCATACAGCACCACACTTATGCTTACCACACTTATCTACATTATTTCTTTATAGCTTATATATACAACGCCATTTCTTGATTACGAACATCACAAGTCCTGAAAATACTCTCTAGTTTTCTCAGCTATCACTTGTATCAAATACTTCTTAAAAGAGCTTTCATAAAAACAGAAACAAATCAGCTAAGCAAGATTCATTTCAAAAAAAGATGACAATCCGCCAAATTTTTAGAAGATCGTTATCCAACGAAAGAAAATCAGCTGAAGTTCCAAAGGGTCATTTGGCTGTTTATGTTGGGGAGAGCGAAAAGAAGCGTTTCATAATTCCATTATCGTATTTGAACCACCCTATGTTTCAAGATTTGCTGTGCCGAGCTGAAGAAGAATTCGGATTCCACCATCCAATGGGTGGACTCACTATTCCTTGCAGTGAAGATCTATTTGTTGATTTAACCTCTCATTTGAGCAGAACATGAAATACGTGTTTAGAAGGATCACGATTTTGTAAAATTAGTTTTTCTTTCGAGAAAGATTCTTCGTCTTGTTTTCAAGAAGAGAAATGTATAGAAGCACAAAATTACAGTATATACAACAACCTTTAAGCCATTTTAAGATGCCAAAGCATTGTAGGGTTAAATTTGATAATACTAATTTTATATGAACTCAACGATTCAAATCAATCTTCTGTCGATAATACTATATTGTATTACAATTCACAATAATAAGTAACCTCAATCAGAAGCACAATCAAAAAAAGCTGTAGTATAGATGAATTTAGTTGTGTTATTTAATTGTGTCAAATATCTCACAAATCAAATTTTTCGTATATCTGTTTAACCAAGTTCCATATATTCTTTCAATGCTAAAAATATGCAATAAAATAACATTCTTTTAAATACACTTTGGACTCATATTTCTCAGTGTTTCTACTTATCAATAAACGGGAAAATTACAGTTTATGTCCCTAAACTTTACGACTAAAACGATTTATGTCCTCAAACATTTCAATCCACGAAATATGTCCTCAAACTTGCCACTTTTGATCACTTTATGTTCTGCCGTTAACGTCGGCAGCTAACTTCGATGGAAATAGCACGCGTGGCTCACGTGACGTCTATGTGGCCGTTAAATGTAACGTGGAATAATATATTGAATATTAAATGTTGGACGTGGCACAATAATATACTAATTTCCTCTAACTCACTCTCCGAAATACC